TTTTATAAGATCTTTTCCAAAATTAAATTTATCCAGTGTATCAAATATAAATTGATGGCTTAGACTGTCGAATGCTTTTTCATAATCAGCAAAGAATAATAAACCCGGTTTATTTTCTTTCTGCAGATGTTCAATAATTTCAAAAATCAGCCTTACATTTTCACCAATATATCTATTTTTCATAAACCAGTTTGATTAAAACTTATTATAGACGGCAGAACTTTTTTTATTCAATTTGAAATTGTTTTTGTTGCAAGTTTATAATCAACATTGAGCAAGCTTATTGGTCTCCAATTTGAAATATCTGTAAGATCTTTATCCGGTTTAGGAATAAGGGATATTATTCCTTGTCTTTGAAGTGTTGTTAATTTTGAAGTATCAAAAGAGTAATTAATGGAAGCTAGATAATAGTCTTTTATGCTATTCCAAAATAATTTATAAAATTCAACTGTTAAACCATCAGATCCTGGACTTTTATTATTTTTCATTTCTGATAAAGCTATTTTACATTCATATTCATTAATTTTCCCTTCATTCCTTGTTGTCTTATCTAGTTGGTCTTGTCCCGTATTTCTTCCTGAATATAGTAGTATCAACCTTTGGATATGTTGCATGTAATTTGACCTGTTGATTGTGATATTCACGCTACATAACCGCTAAACTATTTCTAAATTCCATTTGATTTGTTTTTCCTAATGTTTCCTCCTTAAAGGCACAAACATTCGTCCACTTATAGAACATTTGTCACTTATCATGGAATGGTACGAACATGTCATATTGTAACTTTTATACAGCTGTCATACTAAATAGTGGAGCGTGTTGGCCGATCGGTTAAGGTCGTTGACTTCAAACCACTTGCCCCTCACCGCTTTAGGTTCGAATCCCGACAGGGACTTTGGATTCTTACATGTGTGGAAGCTATCAAGCTAGCTTACTGAACGTCGGTGGTTCTACTCAGGCGCATGTTTGTGTCTGAAATAATGCACGGAAGGGCACCTGAGGTTTTCTCCCGCCAGTAATGCTGAAACGTCGCCAAATGACCTATACTGTGTCGATGTGACGTAAAACCTAATCAACCAAACAAACAAACAATACTAAATTGTAGAGCTTAAAGAATCGGATAGTATGTTATATAGAAATTTAGATGTGCTATAGCCGGTGAGCTTGATTTAGATGATTTTTATAAGTGACGCTTTTTCCGGACATACGTATTTCCCTATCATTGTTTTTACATTTTGTACGTTTACTCACAAAACTGATATAGTGAAAAGTGAACACTTCCATGCTTTCATAAGAAGTGTTTTTGCCACAACTTTTGAGGCACTAATTTCCTTTAAATAATTTGTTATATTTTTGAAAGTGTTTTGTTTACATTCGTCAAGATTTGTTTGTGTTAAATTCTTGCTAACGAAATAATTGTTATACGTGTTCTGGGTAAATTTTCACACATGTACACTTATTCATCTCACGGATGCCTTTGTAAGACGGACACGAATGAAATGGTACTCATTTTCAATATCAATAGTATTCTGTCAATGCCAAAATCGTTTATTCTAAAGTGACCGATTTCTACTTAACACATAATTAAAATCCATAGAAAGAATAATTTATCTAGTATACTTTGGTAATTAATAAGAAGTTAAATTTAATACCTATAAAATTCAAAATATTCACGGCTATAGCTTCCAAAGCATAGTTGATGTATTTAGTGTTCGCTATAATCTAAACAAAATTGAAAATAGTAAATGTTTAAATGTTTAATTTGGTCTATTTAAGAATAAAACGAGTAATATAACTGCTGAAAAATCAATTTCATATTTTAACACAAAAACCATCGATGTTAAAATAATATCATTATTAAGAAATGAATGCTAAATTGCTTTGATTTTTTATAAAGAAATAACATAACTCTTAAGATGCTGTAAAAAGAGCATTTATATCATCTTTATTATATTATTCAAGTCAATTGAAATATAACAGTTTCAAAGACTTGTGTTTGTTTGTTTTAATTTTTATTTTTATTTTTTGCTCCTAAGATTACACAAATAAGTATTCCAATAAACATGCAGTTTTCCATAAAAAAACTATGGAATTCTATGACAAATGCTATACATCACTCTATTCATATACTTTTAAAGGATCAACTATTTGCAATTATTCATATTTATTTAGTCGTTGTAATGCAAACTCCTAGGAAACAAGGAACAAACTTCCAAAAGGAACACCGATTCTGTTATAGTTAGACATTCACAAAGTATACAGTTTAAACTGTTAACTAATATTAGATAAAAAGAGCCCCTAACACCTTAACACAGGATCTACAGTTTTGTTTACTTTAAAAGTAAATGAATGATGTTAAACTGTTAATTGTGTAGAATAGTTAACATTTGTTATAGTATTGTATTCAATGAATCTCTGTAGGCCAAATTGAATGTCAAATACATACACATACGCATACTGTTTTTGAAAAGAATAAACATAAAAAGAAATTAATTAATTGAATTATAAGTAATTATCCTAAGTAGTTTATAAAACTCCTTATATTTCAAATGATAGATTTAAAGAAATAGTGTCATATCACCGTTACAGATGTTTTAAAAGGAAATTTATTCATTAAGTTTTTTTTTATTAATACTATAGTCTATATTACTATCTTCTATATCTTCTAGGTTGTTTTGCTTAAAAACGAAAAACAATTTAAAAGTATTCATAGATAAGCAATAGATACACAATCGTATTGTTTTTTCTTTCGTTTGTTTCTTTTAACCATTAACAATTTTAATATTAAGCGTTAAACATATATTCTTGTATTTATATTGAATTTCATAAATTATATAAACCACATGCAATGGTCTCGTGTCATAGGCTAATTTAGCCATGATATGACATATTTGATATATCTGACTATTTACTTCGTCAAACCAAGTTGATGATCAATTTAATACTATGTAGCATGAACAATTCAGATAATTTACCATCAGCTTTAATTAATAAAGTTGTCTAATGCTTTTAGCAATCATAACAGTGAATACTGTATCACTTTATGTTGATATATTGTTTTAATGTCATGCATATGCCAGACGTTGGAGGAAAAAATAATAAAAAGTACAACGTGAATAATGAAAAGTACAAACTTTACACCAGGTGTCCGATTGTACTTTTAAATTATAACAATAGATTCTATAAAGTCATTTTTTAGAGAAAATAGTTCAGTCGCAGTAACTTACTGTAAAGATATAAAATATGCAATATGGACAGAATTTCTATTGAGTGTAACCAGTTGTCCCAGTTTCTTGTGTTGGAACTGTCAGTTTAGGAGAATCAAGATGAAAGTTTAAGAAGATGGTAGAGTCAAGTAAAGAAAGACTTTATAAACAGGTTCATTATTTATACAGAAATACATCCCGACAATTACCAATTAATTAAATTTGTAGTTACTTGGATCTGAAATCATCAATACTAACAACAATACTTTGAAAAACAAGGCAGATCCAATTCACGTCAATAGCTGTTTTTATATAAAATGCGATGCACAGAAGAGTATGTCTGTTTCACGCAATTAATTTTCTTAAGAGGACTTTGAATCATTTTTTAAGGAAATGATAAACAGATTTTTTTACATTTGTAACTTAGTTAAGATGTACAGAATGCACATAATTCAAACAATATACGTGTAGGTCTCTGTCTGCTACTGAAAAAATATTAAACCGTCTTCCTGTCCGAATAAAAAAGAATGTTTCATCATTGGGTATCATTATACAATGATAATATATTTAAATATAATTTTTATTTTTTAATAAAAAAGCTGTTTAATTTTGCTGTTAAATGTGAAGCTGAACATTAATAAAAAAATAGAAGTAAATGTGCATTGTTATAATAAGACTACTGTAAATTGCAGCTAAAATTAACACAATATGAGCGTTTAACTGGAAACTATATCTGCAGCCATATGTTTCTTCATATGTTTTTGTCCATTTGTGTTTTCTCATAATACTTATTATATTCTGCAATGTGAGAAAATATGTATCATTAATTTAGGTAGCGGTGAACACAGTTTTATAGTTCAATCAAAAAATAATATCTATCTAATATACACTTATGATTTCAATTGTAAAATTGCAATATAAGTAACGATTAAATAGAGACATATACTTTTCTCAAATAAAAGTAGTTGAAAGAGAAATGATCGAGAAAACAAAACAACGCAATATTTCTTGTAAAATTATAAGTATTTCTTCACTATATGTTGAGTTGAATACTTTTCTATAATGTTTAGAGTTTCGCAATTTATAGCTATAACTAATGCTTAAATAGTTAATGTTACATTTAAATATACATTGATATTGAAGGAGTGAATGGATTTATTACCTTAACAATTTAAAATATGCGTACTATTTTCATATATTAAATGTTAATCACTTTCTACAGTATTTATGTATTTTATACCTAGACAAATCAAGTCGGGTAACTTAAATTGTTAAACAGTTGTTTGTTTATCTTGTTGAATTAAAACTATTTTAGTATTGTTTAGATAATCGATCAACCTATACTTCTACGGCTTTAGTTATCTAACAAGGAATTGCTTTTTTGGTATCAAGTGACCGACATGATATCCGGATCAGCGGTGACAGACAAATGTCAATTGGGTCCAATGACTGAGATCATTTATCAAGGAGGAATTTAGCAACGGCCGATTATCAAAGAAACGGTCTCTTAAATCCCGATTCGTTCGATGAGCTTTTCAGTTTGAGTTGCACGGACGGACAAGACGTATTTACTATAATATTTAACAGTTTATTTTAATGATAAGGATATGACTATACAGTGGAATAATGATTTTTTTAATTCGAAAACGATTTCAAGAGAAAAGTTTAGAATAAAACATACTGAAGGTGTATTGGATATTTCATTTTACTCTGTGATTGATGTGGCAGCTGGTTTTCCTATAAAAGCTGGGGAAGACTTCTTCTGCGTCAGTTTTGCTCAATATTGGACTTATGTTTTTACTAGTGAAGCTGAATCATGTACTTATTGGTTAATTTACATTTTTCATTGCTGAGCAAGAATTTAACCAATAATGTTTTTGTTAATTAATTTACAAATTATACAATGTATAACGTTATTGGTAGTGTTATGGTTATTATAATGATTCTGGGAAATTTGGAAAATTTTACTGTAATCTATACATACGCTACGAATAGGAAAATACGTACAGTTGATAACTTGTTCATTGTCGGAATTGCTATCAGTGACATGGGGCAAGCTATTTTAGGAGTACCACTTGTTGTTGCATCTAGTTTTAGTAAGCATTGGATATTTGGATATAGTTCATGCCAGTATTATGCCTTCATTACAACTTTTCTAGGAATATCTCAAGTTGCTTTGTTAACCTCGTTAGCAGTAGATCGTTACTATATTATAGTACGATGTAGCAGAAAACTGTCGAATTCGTTTTGTCGGAGTATTCTTACAATTACAACTTCGTTCCTGTTTGGTTTCGGGTGGGCTTTAGGACCACTTGTCGGTTGGTCAAGTTATGAAGAGGAAATTAAAGGAATAGCATGTTCTGTCAGTTGGGAAATAAAAGACAATAATCATCTTTCATATACATTCAGTTTGCTCACATTTGGCTGGTTTATTCCACTATTCATAATTGGTTTTGGTTATACAAGTATTGCCTGGACGGTAAGTTATTGAAGCAAATTTACTTTTAACAACTGCTTAATCTTAATATTGAAAATAGATATCCTTAGTATTTTGAAATGACTTCTGTAGAATGTTCAACAAATTTTAAGTAAAATTTAACGTAAAGCATAAAAATGAATAAAGAAGATGTCCATGTAAAATTTGTATCAGTGAATAACAATTCCTTAGAAATATTTGCATCATAAGAATATTCAGCCCACTTCAAATACATCACAAGTATCCATAAACCTTCAAAATATAATCATTTTACGATTCAAATATGATTAAAAAATGCCGCAATCCGGCAAATCTGTAAGTATTGCAGAGCATATATCGGTCTAAATTAGGAAACTAAATGCTATATATGGTGTTATATCTTTCAAACATTTTGTAAATCTGAAATAGAGTAGATTCTTAAAAACATTTAAACAAGTAATCATCGTAGGAACGCGAGTACCACATTTCATACATATTTTTCTGTATGCATTACCCTTTACCTTATTTACACACATTCTTTTTTACACTTTGAATATATTTACTTAATGGCATTACATTTACAACCTTGTTCAGATCAATTTACAATATTGGAAAAAATATATGTACGTGGAAGATAAAACATTACTTTCAAATAACAAATGACCTTGATATTCATCCAGAATTGTGTGTTTTTCATTAACAGTGACAGGAAAAAACATTAGATTACATGTACATGTTACACAATAGTACCTGTACAATTTGTAAATTGGCGAAATGATAACCGTTAATTGCGAATGAACATACAGAAGTATCAGGAATGAAAAAGTTTTGTTCGTTCACACGCTTGTGTTTTGACCAATTATCTTTGAAAATGTTTATGGCTTGTAATTGGCAATTATATGTGATCGATTGAACTAAAATGTTTTCAGTTATTTTTCCTTGACGGTTACAATCCCCCAGTATCTAATATCTTAGAGCATGTAAATATATTCACAGATATCAACGAATCCCGAATTGTGACATATGACTTTCTGACGCATGAATGTTGGAAAAACAAAAACTGTTAAAACAATGCATGGCTTCGAGATTTTATCTCCGAAAGTTTAATTTGCTATTTACGCAAGTGATTGGGTGAGAGAGTAAGGAATCTTGACACCAATGGAATGCTTATGGGAAGAAAAATTGTAAAAAAAACGACCTACGAATCTTATATTTTATTACCCGTTAATCAACAAGTTTAATGGTACCAACGTCCAAATAGGCTCGTATGTTCTTATCACCCTTTCAAAGAAATATACTTTAGTAATAAACTTATTAACGTCTTTTAATTGCTTTTTGTATCATTTATATATTCCTGTCTTATGTTTCAAATAATTGATTCAAAGGATTCCCGAGCTTCCATTGCGAAATTGAATCCTGTCTTATTTATGGTCAACTTAGGCAATTTTGTATGGCAATAAAAAATTGTTATGTTATTTACAGATATATCAAGAAAAGTCTCTCCATCAACACTTACGGAAAAAGTCGGTTCGGAGGTCAAGTAGAGACAAGAAAGTGTCTGTAACTTTATTTTTAATGATTGGTGAGCTACTTTGTCTACAAACATATAGAATATAAAACTGTATTTAAATTACAGAAATAAAGCATTTTAAATATACCAAGAGAATATTATTTACGTTAAACTTTTTTGCATAAAATCATGTTCCATTAATATGGCATATCATCAAAATTATTCTCTAGAATTCTTTTATTTTCAGGTGCTTTTATTTTATCGTGGCTGCCATACTCTGTTGTGTCGATGTGGTCAGCTTTGGGAAACTACGAATCTATTCCTGCTTGGTCACAAGTAGCCCCAGCTGTGTTTGCTAAATGCTCAATTATTTGGAACCCTATTATATATGTGGCAAGACATAGTTGCTTTCGGAAGGCAATCAAAGAGAAAATTATATGTTTTACACACATGAATATATTAACTATAAGAAGGAAAACGGACAGAACAATAAACTTATTATATCTTAATATGATTAACAAAAACAAGAAAGAAGGAACACACGGTGAAAACGTGTTATTGGATTCAAATTTTCACAACAACCAATCATGTGGCGATTTGGCTGAAACACTTTACATTGACGCATCTGTAAATGATAAGTTGGATATGTCTGAAATGGTTTAATCACAGAAACCAAAAAACAACAAAACAAAAGAATATTTTTCATAAAAGATGACGAAATGTGTGCAAGAATTATTAAATGTAACATATTTTGGATTGTTCAGTAAATACATGTCTAATTGAACACCTCACTGACAGAGAAAATATTTTAAAACTGTTTAAATTTGTTTATAATTTGATTAAATATGACATTTTCTATCTTTTTCACACAGAAAAACTTTCACATAAATTGTTTGGTTTGAACATAAAATTATAATTTGCAAGACATAAAAGCACAAGAGAACAAGCCATTGACAGGATTATAGCTTTTTAAAATACCAATTAAATTAAACAAAATAAATGCTAACTAACAATAGAATGTGTGTTATTCCATTATATATAAACAGTTCGTCCAACAATACATTCATTACATAACAATACATTGGTTCTCTTTGTAATTAAAGCATTTTAGAGCATATCAATGCTTGTGTTTTGTTTTCAAGTAAACTGGTTGCTACTTTCAAATTTTCATAAAATTATTTTCTTTTTAGATTTTAGCGCATGAACGTTGAAAAGCATGCCTCTTTAAAAACCATTTGATGAAATTACTTCATAACATATCATATTCCTTTGCATGTTTGTTACTTTCTTATGACGTCACAAATTAAATAGCGTACACGGTGCATTTAAATTAAGATACGCATTTCTCAGGTCAAGCATATGGAAAATTTACCAGACTTTATTTAGGATTTTATTTTGCAATCAATTTTTTTTTTTTTACAAATTGACGAACAGCTGTTTATTTCCACCTAAGAAGAAATTCAATCAATACTTAATTTGAATTGCCTGTATACTTGCCTAATATGACAAAAAAGTTAGAAATACTGTTTCAAGCTAGGTTCGATTAATGTAAAACAACAGTTTGTCATAAGAAGCGCCACTTATGCATTATAGTTTGCATAAACAACTAAACTCTACTTTACTCATACGTACCTTAATTTTCCTGGAACAAATCAAGACAAAATAAGATTTACCTCTTGTTTTAGTTGATTAACTCTGGACGTTTATTGTAGAATTAAAACAATTTGTGATTCTGAAACAATAGCTTGTATTGATAATTATAAATGATTTTGGTGTGTCGTATTTCTGAACTTTTTGTACGTGAAAAAAGAGAACGCTCAGAGCGGTTAATCTCATTTGTTTTAAATCATATAGAAGGAAGATGTTTTTTCACTGCCGAAGAGCATTAGGCTTTCATACTCCCGCTGGGTATACAATGTTTTTATGTGAGACGTCGAGACATAAGAAATTACTAAAACATAAGCATTTGACAAGTTTGAGTTTAAAACTTCTCCTTTAAAGAAGCACGAAAACAAAACAAGCATATTAAATTGTAGCCTCGGTTTAATGTCATGATTAAATATGAACAATTTATCACGCATCCTAGCTTAAGCTGCGTTCAGTTATTAACACTTAAAGTAATTGAATTAACATCATTTAATCCAAACATTAACATAATATTATTGTTTAAAAATGCTACCAATTTACTCCATGAATAGGACTGAATCAAAACTGAGAATGTTCAAAGCTGTCAAATTCATTTTTAACGTTTTAACATGTATTTTAGTAAGTTATAAAAATATATTTACGTTTATGCGCATTGCTTCCAGGCGTCAATCTTTCTTTACACGTTAAATGCGTGTTGCTAAATTATAAAACATTTTATTCCGTTTGTAACCTTGTTTGATTCATAATCAATGGTTCTGTTCAAGACTTGTTGCACGGAATACTTCTTACGATATCTCTATGCAAGGATGAATTCATTACGTTTGATAAATGTTCATTTAAGCAAGTTTAGGCTAACTTAAGTTATTATTGTAGACATGTATTCATGCTGAACTTTTAGTGACACAATCTCTATTAAGTTTTATTTTTATATTGCTTAATTATTTGCAAAACCAAATCTGTCTTACAACAAAATGAATACCCAATTAGTTAATGATTATTTGTTTATGTGCAACAAAGTGTGTAAAGTTTTATATGCATTTAGTATCACTCCTAAGTTTTTCACTCAAGCAATTTCAGTCAGGTCGTATTGATAACTACAAGTAGAAATCTAAATAAAAATTGAGTATATCCCCTACTGAGACCTTCTTCTGTCTTTGTGTGCAAAGTAAAATATCTAAATGTGATGTTTTAATCAAACAAAGGTGAATAGCTTATGTGTATAGCTAAAGTGTCATTTTTTCTCTCAAGTGCTATTGGATATCAATAGAGAAAAAGACAAAATACAAGTGTATATAAATTTATATAAAAATATAATATAGTAAAAAAGATTGTTATTCGGTGACATTTTTATTTAAATGTGGTAAAAAATCATACGAACATATGTTTTAAAGACGTTTTCCGGAGTTTATATATAGACATATATGAACAATTAAAAACAAATTAATGTACCTTGTCATTCTATTTTCAAATTAAGGTTTTTACATGGAATAAAAACCATTCAACTTCATCCGACATATGATATTTATCTGGTCCTTTACGAAGAATGGTGGCAGCAGGTGTATATTTTCATTGTTGTTATTCTCTTTCTTTTTTCATTTTTTATCAATGGATATAAAACAGGTATTTTCTCTCAGCTCGAAAATCTAAGTCTCATTGTATTACAGATATTTATTTTAAATCATATGTATATAATGTTGTGAGAATAAGAAATATCTCAGTCGAAATATTTTGATGATAAAATAGTTCATCATATACACTCATATACAATTTATGAAACAACATTAAATAAAGAAACATTTTTTGTTTAGTTTGACTCTGTAATAAGGTTATGTTTTCGAATCATTTGCATTTTGTATCTTCTTTTAACTTATTATTTTTAACAAGTCTATTAATATTTTGAAAGCGTGTCTTTCTCAAATCTCCAATGCTACGATAGAGACCAAATGAAAAGTTTCACATCCGTCCTTTAGTGACGAACTATCATAATAAATATATAAATCTCATCATATTTGGGAGATTGTGCTGTCGAAAAGTATAAAGTTAATTAAAAATGTTCCAGACCATAATGTCATAATTTATCTGTGTTACTGTACAGAAGCAATGCAATTAACGAAATAAGTAGAGACATATGTCATCCACAATCGAAAACATGTTTTAAGACAACAGCATAATGATATAATAAAACTAATTGAACATTGTATTGTAATATTTCATGTTAAAGCTGCAGTATACTTGTACCACGTAAGAACTGAATATCATTCTAAACATACATATATGATGTGTCACACATACAAGCAGTTACTTATTATAACCATGTAGCAGCTTAACAAAATTGATAAATATGGTGACTTAATTGAATCATAAGTTACCTAAAATATTAAAAGAAAGACATGTTTTAAACATTTATTTTATGAATTTTATATAATTCATAGCCGCTTTGCACATTATTAATACATTTTCATCTTAACTTATGTGCCTACATATATATAATCTAAACGTTAAAAGTAAATAACAATATCACTTTTAAGAAGCCAGATACAATAAAACTGATTTAAGTTATTTCTCTTCTTTTCTTTTTTTTCTTCTAACTATTAAGATTAAGTAGCGTTTGGGTGTAATAATGATTTTGTAAATTCCAGATTTTTTTACATAATTATGTAGAAATAGGGTCATACAAATACTTATAATAATAATAATAATAATAATAATAATTATAATGATACAATATGATTATAATAGTAACTTATTTACAGACGGTATCACATACAGATAAAACGATTTGCTATATCTGATGTACAATGCGACTTTCAATATAAAGTCAAATCAATGGGATTTAATAGAAATGATTAAATGGTTATCAAAGTGTTAACATTTATACTTAACTTTCAATTTAGCATTAATTATCATTAAACATCAAGATTTACTTTAGTGCATTATTTCAAATCCGCAATAAACAGCAGCCATTCTAAGACAACCAACCGTTATTAGAAAAATATTTTTAAGACAAGTCAGAAAAATATACTTATTCAACTTAAAAAAACGGTCTTATTCGTATAAACTCACTATAGTTGGTTTAATTAATATTTTTTGAAGATTTTTTAATAGTGACAATAAAGTTTTTCTTCTAATAATCAGTGGTATAAATTTCCATTCAAGTCATTGAAATAATAAGTACGTGGTTTGTTAAACTATTTTTTATTATCCTTTGATATGGTAGGTTGAAAGGGAAATAGTATTCAGTAACTTGAACAATAAACAATATTCACTTGAAAGACAATGTTTTTGATATTGTGTATACATTTTCAGATTGTTTTCTAATTTGTGTGTCTAGAATAAATTTGCAAATTCGGGCTTGTAATTTATATATTTATATAAGTAATGTTTTCCATCCTCCAAAAATAACAACTTTGATAAAAAAAAATTGATGCAACAGCACTTTGGTTAAATTACGCTTTTAAATAATCATATTAAAGCTATATTGTATATAGAATTCTGTACGTCTAATTAACGTTTCCAAATTCAATTATTTGCCTATGATTGGACATGTTTAAATGGTGTTTCGGAAAAGTGAATAAGTTTATAAAGCTTATAAAGAAGACTTTCACGATAAACTAAAACAAAAGCCTTTTACAGCAGGTCGAACAATACTGTACCTATATATTTGCTACTATAAACGTCTTTTATCCAGCAATCTTTAAGATGAATAATGGCCGTAAAGCATATTATGAAATGATTATTTCGAGATCCTGATTGCTTGTGGTATCAGCTTAACTGATTATATTTTACCGTTCAAAGATCTTTAATATTGTAGGGAGAAAATAGAAATTGGAGGATAGTTGCCTTTTCACACACATTTGAAAATCGGAATGACTCGTGCATTATTCATTTCATCGGGAAACGTTTCATGTTCAGTAATATTATGTAAGCTATATATTTCATGTGTAAGCATTTGATCAACCCACTTCAAATACATAACACATATCCATAAAGTTTTATTTATTTACATTGTCGACAGTTCTTTGATTCAGATTTACAAAATTGGAAAAGTTATAAATATATTTTTTATTATTTTTATTATAATAATTCATCTGCTTGAGCTAAGTAAAGTGTTGCAATTGATGGCAGTCATCATGTAACCATCTTACAAATCATTACAAACATCAGAAATATAGCAGATTGTCAAAAGGAATAAAACAGTTGAAAATTGTATGAGCATTTTGAACAAATCTGTTCTCGACAGACAGTGTAAGTTGAAATAAATCTACATTTCGTAGCATCTTAAACTTGCAAATACGTTTCTCGGGATTAATTACCCAATATAAATTCATTGTCTACTACAATAACAAATCTATTTTCTGTTTGTTTTCATTACGCTTTACTAAACTCATCATTCCCATTCCAATTTGAATATATTTCCTCTTGAGCTTTTGATACTGGCGTTCAGACCCATTTACGATA